AATATAATAATCTCAGCATAGTATATCACAAACTCGGCATATAAATTACATCATATTTGCCGAGTTTCATTGAAATCGGTTACCGGAAAGTGCGCGAAACCGGATTCAACCCTTAGTTTGCCACCCTTAGAAGTGGAATATTATCTTCAAATTCAATTAGGATCAATACTGAGGTACCCTCTTTCCAACAAAAAAATCATCAAAATCCGTTCACAAATGTAAGAATAATCGCGTAACATAAAAACAAAAAAATACCAGTGCCGTCAAAACAACAAAAAAAAACTATAAAAAAAATTAAGTTCAATTCAGTCAAGCTCTACCAAACGTGGCAATTATAAGCCAGCGATTGTATATCGACGTGGTAGAAACAGCTCGCGAATTAAGCCATTGCTACTCTGCTGTGTCTGTCTGTCTACACGACCTCTCGCAACGGCACAGAACGTATCAATACGAACTTGTATAAACATGCCAGAAGCGCTACAGTGTCGCTCCAGGCCCATTAGGGCTAGCACGAACAAGCGCGAGATATCCCGCTAGTCGCGCCCTATCGTGCTAGCCCTACCAGTGGCGAGGCGTCCGTATATAACTCAATTCCAACCGGCTTGCCTAAAATTTTCCACGCATCATCAAATAACATTTTACGTGTACATTATAATTAAATGGTGAAATAAAGAGTACTGGTATCTTGTGTGCTAATAAGCGTTGTGTTTAATGTCGCCAAGGCGTCACTTGTTAAGGCAAATGTTTTTTGTTTTGCTCCGGCTTCACTAAAGACAATTTTCACGCCTTGCTACTGAGCCCTACAGATGTCTGAATGTGTTGTTGTATTGAACAGGTAAAGCATCGTAAAACGCCTTGGTGTCATTACTTTCGAGGACGAACACTTTCACAAGGACCTCTACTGTTACGCCAGAAGTGCTTAACTCCAAAGCCTTGAAGTTCCCTGTCCCCATTTAATACGATCTATAAAGAAATATAGCCACCATGACGCAATTTGATAAATGATCAATAGAACCTATTTAACTTTATAGATCATTGCCCTAACTGTACTCTTGCGCATTAATCTTGCCATGATTAATTCAAAATACATGATGATTTTTTTCCTAAAATTTTAACTCGTGACATTTAATGGAATTTCTTGCTTCAGTAGTGACAGCCTTTTCTAGTTCTAGTCCCTCTTTATTAATGTCTCGGAAGAGCAGTATTTCATACATTCAATTCTTGTAATGACTCTTCAATTCATGTACGAGTAATAATTCCTAACTTGCACTAGTATCGGCAGGTAACCGATGGATGCACGTCGCGTCCGATCGGCTGGTCTGGAAATCTTTGGGGGAGGCCTATGTTCAGCAGTGGGCTTGCGGCTGATATGACGATGATGATGAAGTGCTGTATTTCATATACATTCAATTCATGTAATAATCCCTGACAAGTGTAGTATTTCATATACAGTCATGTAATAGTTCCTATTAGTAATTTTTCTACTTGTTTTTAGTTAATATTTAAGTTACATTTTATAATTTTAATGTTTATCACACTTGTACTTACGTGCCATCTCATTTGTAAAAAGCGGTGCCAACTGAAAACCAGCGTTACAGCAGGCGAGCTGTAATATTATGCTGAGTTGGATCCGTTTCAGCTTTTAGATAGATATTTGTAATAATTAATGTGAATTACCTGTTTACCTTGAACTATCTTAAGCTGTCTCTTCTGAGTCGAGGCGCATAATTGCGATTCACAACTGGCCGATAGGAAACTTTGACATTTCAAATCGGAACAATAGTTGATATAACTCACAAATTAGAAAGATATAGTAGGAATCAGGTTCATCTTTACGCTCGGAAACCCATCTGATTTGGAGACTACCCGATCGGATCGATTCCTATTTGAATTAAAATCAGCCTGCAAGTCTGAATCACTACACATATTATGTGCATTTTGATGTACACGAGGCTTTAGGTTATTTTCACGATTTGGAATATATTTGCTGAAGACATTTATCATCGGGCAAGATGATGAATTACGAGATACAGAAATAGAAACACCCTGTAGATACCGGTACAGGACAGATCGTTATACTTATTTGGAATCTTGTTATTTTGCTATAAATAAAGCAGTGAAATATGTTAATGCAATACTTCCCAAAGTACTTGTACAAACAACGATCTTTATGAGCTCTCGTAAATGACACACTCTTGGCACATGCTTAAGGATCCATCGAAACTCTTCGTTGACAATTATTTACATTTACGTCATCATCGTTAATGTACTATTATCATCAATCTATTTATATCACTGCTGGGTACAGGTACCCCGTCAGGCGAGACCATAGTCCGCCACGCTGGCCCAATGCGGTTTGAGAACTTCAGACGTTTTCCAAGGGTTGTGAACCTTCTTCGACATCACGAGGTTCGTCTTCATCAAAAAGCCCATGGTAAATTTCAAATAAAATTTCGCACATTATATATATATATTTATTTATTGCAAACAACGTTACTACAGGCCTTACACAGGTAAGGTAAAAGTACAAATATACCCCGTTGAGCTGTAGCAAATTAATTGTACTCTCGAATAATTAACAAAAAAAAAAAACAGAACATAAAACAGAACATAAACTACACACATTACGTTATGAAAGAAATCATGCATTCATCACTTCTTTCACATCATTTTATAGGAGAGTCCATGAAATCTCTCACACTGTAGTAGCACTCATTTGTCAGAGAGACTTCAATTTGTTTTTGAACGTGTCGTCATTTTCTTGTCTTAGACGATTAACAGACTGCACCGCGCCCCGCGTGGTAGCGCGAGACGCGGAATCACGCGCGCGGTGGCGGAGACGCAGATCAGCAGCGATCTAGCAGCCCCGCGCCACTTAAAGTACTCGCTTCATAGTTGAACGCCGGCACCGTAATGATTGTACATGTAGCTGAGATCCTTCTTTGACAAGAATGCTTAATAATACAGAACTCATTCAGGACGCTGCAGTTACACTGTCTCTTTTGTTTTTTTGTTTACTCAAATAAAAAGACATCGAAGACAACATTCAGCGTCATTACAAAGATTTAAGAAAATATGAAGATTAATTAATTTTAACGAATATTATTAATCTATTACAGGCACCGACATATAGATACATATAATTTAAAGGGTGGGTCAGTGACACGTCGCGAAAGTTTTCGCGCGGCCGCCGCGCGGCTACCGTCCAGTTACCACGCACATTAATGGCGAATCTGAATTGTATTTACTAGGCAACAACATCAAAATACCCGGCCGCGTAGATCAAAGATAAGCCAGTCTCGCTTGCGCACCCGGGATGCTCATTTAAGTTAGAACGTAAAAGCTAAGAGTATACTTTGCCATGACAGTTAGATGCACGCGGTTGTTGCGCGGCAGCAACGCGGTCTCCACGCTGCGACCGCGCGGCGTGAGCGCGGTGAAATGAAAATGGGACTAGTGAAGTAATGTCTCAGAGTGGCGGGCGTGGTGGCAGTGCCCCTCAAATCTTTGCGATTTAAAGCTCTGAGTGGCACTGAAACTGTTACGACAGGCGTGTCGTTTGCCATCAGGCGCACGACTTGCTCGTCCCCTCACTCACTATATGGAATAAGTAACACTTTTATGTGTATTTTGTAGGTTTCCACTAGATATCTCACCACTTTTTCCAACAATATTCGTTTGTTATGCATTACAAAATCATAATTGAAAAATCTTCGCCGAAAACTGAGATTGATTTGACAATCCATAGTCTAGAATATCTATGGTTGCATAGGGATGTACGGAAAAAAGTTCAATTGAGTGAATCATAGTTTGAGTAAGTGATTGCCTCAAGAATCACCAGAAACTTACGTCTTGAAGTCATTTGACCAACTCTTATTTCTGTACCGCTTACAAACGATTTAGCGACTTGTTAACTATCAAGTATTTTCATAATTTTCTGTATTTAACTGATAACTTCTAACTTTTAAACAATAAATGTCAATAATCGTAAATAAAGAAACGTTTTTTTATGTATCACCTTCAATCAATTTACAACGGTCAAATGCGCGGAATTCACTTGATGTTAGTCCAACAGATTCAATTAATCGATCTGATTCATTCAATAATTGATTAGTAAATTACTCTACAATTGCCCATCACTAAACCGACTATGGTCGGGTCAATGCACTCAATGTTTACCTTTACTCTCAATTCATTTGAAACAGGGTATAGTCATTCCTCGTTTAGCACTCTTCAGGGGCAGTTTTCGATTTGCAGCAAGTAAGTGCTGGAATGACCTGCCACCTCCAGTAAAAAATGCCAGTACGCTATATTCATTCAAAAAAATGTGTTTTAAATGGCTCCTGTCTGTACAGAAATCTAGTAGCAATTGGTCTATTATTAAAACTTGTAGCAACACTAAATAAATAAACTTTTTTTTTTTTTAACTTTGTTGGTTTTATAATATCTGTAGTTTTGTAAATTATTATGACTTTTATAGTTTTTAAGTGCAACACAGACAGCCTCCATGTTTCATTAGTTATGTAAGTAGTAACCGAGTGTCATTACTACATTATACATTAAATATTCAGTAGTATTTATTTGTTTAGTTACCGATTAGTTAAAAACCTTAAGTATAAATTAAATATTTAGTGCTCCGTTTGCCGGTCGGTTGTAGCAAGCGAATAGATATAGTTTTAGGTGTAGACTGAAAATCAGCAATGCTGAGTCTTCAACCTTTTTATTCACATTTCTGTTTTAGTTGTCGGTGTTTTATTATTTGTACTAGTTTTATGTGTATTTTGTGGATAAATAAATGTCTTTTTATTTATTTATTTATTTATTTTTAAAAAAACTGTTCGCGCACTAGGCTACCACCGCCTTTAATCCGTCACTTCCGTAGCTGTTAGTAATGTAAACGATTTAGGAGTTCAGGTGTACAAAATTTTTAACGAAAACCAACCGTATTAAAAGGACGCAAAGGATAGTTGGATAGTAGGAATGAAGTTTCAGTTACTTACCTCTATTGTGTTGGGCAACACGGCGCCTTCTTGGCGTCCCGCGCCCTCTTTTTCATCCTGAAAGAGGAAATAACTTTTAGTTCCAAAAAACAAGCAATAGAAGTGTCCGTGAGTGGTCACGTATTTATATTTTAACCAATCCGGAGGCAGTAGAGTGTTTGTTGAGTTGAGCGTCGTATTTGATATTTTATATATTGTTTGTACAGTTATTTTTTGCCAAATGGCAAATTTGCCTTTGTACCAGTTATGTAACATTATGAGATATTATTTCAAAAAATAATTTGAATTTTACAAATTTGTTAACTTTAATTTTATTCCGTTCAGGAATACGGTTTAGAGAGACTCTTTTAATTAGCAAAAATACAACGTAATGTTTTTTAATTTTTCAGTGTTAATTGCGAAATAACGTTTCAAAATTTCCGACATTTCCAGCTTTATTTTTAAACAGATAAAGTAAAAAAATATACTTCCGACTCCAGTTTAAATTAGCTCATATTTACCACCACCACTGGGGTAGTGAAGAGTCCTAGAGGAGCGGTCCTAGTGGAGTCCTCGGAAGCAAAAAAGCAATTTGAAAAAAAAAAGCTGTATTGTCCATATAAAATACACTACATATATTTTCTTTTCCTTGTGATTTTTTGTGTAAGTTAATATGAAAAATACGTGTTTTCAATTATTTTTCGTTTTGGTGGGCGTTGAAATTTTTTACCTTGCCGAAGTGGGCGGTAAACCAAAAAGTTTGCTAACCTACGCTGTATAGTAACGAATAAACTTCGTTAGCTTAAGCCCGGAATACCCAAATGTAATACAAAGAAACCCTTTGAAAAAATGCGTTTTTTAAATCTACTTAAACTAGATCTTATTGCTTACAAAATAAAGTTGAAACAGAACGTGATTAAACTGAATTACGTAGCGGCTACGGAACTATTCGGAGCGTGACCAACACGGTCTTAGCCGGTTTTTTAAATGTATGAAACGAGTATTAATATACTATAATGTGGCAATTATATTGCGATGTGTGTGCGCACGCGTGCGCGCGTGAATACGTAAAGGAAGTCATAATGGATAGACAAAAAGCTTTATCCACTTCCATGACAACTAATTTTCTTTGATTTGATAATGAAATCCCGGGTTCGATTTTTTTAATAATATTAAGTGACAGGAGGAACAAGTCGTGCGCCTAATGGTAAGCTATACGTCTGTCCACAACAGTTGCGGTGCCACTCAGAGCTTTAAATTGCAAAGATCTGAGGGGCACTGCCACTGCGCCCGTCACCCTGAGACATAAGTTGACAAGTCCCATGTGCCTGTAATTTCACCAGCACCCTTGCCCTTCAAAACCGGAACACAGTAATGCTGACATTACTGCTTGGCGGCAGAAATAGGTACGGTGGCAGTACTTTCCTGGACGAACTCTTTCACATGGAGCTCTACTGTTACTAAAATGATTCCCAGCAAGAACAATGTCAAATCTGAACGGTGGAGGAAACGGCTGCGCACATCCTACTCCAGTGCTCCGGCGTGGCCAACTACAAGGCGAAGTACCTTGGAGTGCCGAGGTCGCTCCCCGAATTCTTCGGCAAACCGATGTGGTTGCTGAGATTCCTGGACCCACCACACTAGTGTTGAGTTACTCATACACGAGGCAACTCGTTTGACCACTCGCTAACTTACTTTGTCACAACACCTCATGTCATAAAAATGTCCCACCTCGCACTTCACCTCATGTCACAGCCTCACTCATGTCACATTGCTTCGAATTCAATAAATGCAATAAAGATTGGTTCTGCACTGCCCGCTTTTTAGCTGATTTTACATCATATGATCATACTACCGTAGTACTAAATAAAATTAGCATTTATTTATACTGTATTATAACTCTTAAGTTATCAAATTGTATTGATACCATCGAGTTATGAAAATGTGCTTAATATTCCCTATCTGTTGAGTCGTTGCCGCAGGTGCAAACATTCTTACCACTACCTCACCTCATTTGAAGAAGGATATTTTTTAACTCCTTTTCTTCTTGTGAAACGCAGTTGTGGAATAGACTCCCTTCCCATATCCAGTCTAGCCCGTCAGTCGCTTCCTTCAAGGTTGAAAGCGCACTTTCTTGCTTAACTCTCTAAGGGTCGTATTCTAGAAGTCTACTCAATGCTCAAGTCAGGATTTGAGTATGGTTTAAAGCACTTGAAATCATACTCAAGTGCCTGCCATTAGGGTCGTATTTCCAGTGCTTGTGTTTCCATTGCAATCCTGACTTGAGCATTGAGTAGAGTACTAGAATACGACCCTTAGTAATTACCTTATTGTATTTTTTACGTATTTATTTATGTATTTGTGTACCTATGTGTATATATTAAACTATTTACATATTGATGCTATTTATTATGACTCATTATAATACTTATGCAAGTAGTGGTATTTTTTTACTTTTTATTTATGTACTTTATTATATATGTTCAGCAGTCTCTCTTGCACGCTATTGCCAGCTTATAACCTTAGCTCTCACTGCCCTGGGTTGGCTGGAAAAGATCTCTTTTAGAGATAAGTGCTCACTTTCTGTTAATCTAATATTTCTGTTGTATTTATTTGGTGCAATAAAGAATATATTGTACCGCCTCATTTCTTCGAACTCACTTTAATTTCATGTCCTACTTAACACTACACCACACGCAAAATAGGCGCCAAGGCCCTAGACACCAAATACCAAGTAAGTCAAGTATGAATGAAGCTTTATTAGCATCATGCGTCGTTTGATAACGAAGAACGAGAGTACAGGGTCAGGGGGTTCATTCAGAACCTTACGATAACTCGGTTGTCGACAGATTTCTTTTCATTTTTTTCGCAACACCCGAATGTAACGTCAAGTCGCATTCGAAACCGAACCAAAATGACGTCATACCCGTACGATTACTCGAACATCTTGACCAAGAAACGTTATTCAGTTATCGAATGAAAGTTCCCGAACGTCCTATTGTTTACATGATCATGGAAATCTCTTATTGTTTTAAATAAACTCTTGATTTTGTTAAATTTTATAAATTTATTTTAATACAAGACTAATGCATTCTTACATTTTAGGCCTTTAAAGTCTTAAAAATGAGAGAGAGAGAGAGAGAGAGAGAGATTTTCCTTTTTCTTATAATCTATTTCACCGACTAACTCCGTAAACGCTGTTGGATAATGATATCGTATCCGAATCCGAATATTCTGAATAGCTCGGAAAGCGCCCTTCGATTATCGAAGAGTTCTAAGTATCATGATCATAGTAATGGTATTTGGCAGTAAGTTGTTTAGTAACGCCTCGCGGGTGCTTTCTTTTGCTACTGCAGAATAATCTCTGTTCAGAGCGATCTATTTATAGTACATTGTGTATTGTTATTTTATTCTGTTTTATTAACAAGTAAAAAGTTTACAAAACGAAATACAAAACAGCGAATAAAAACCATCAAAAGATGTATGACTGCCATCACCTGCTATCTGGCGTGTAACAAAAGAATTAACATCTAATATTTATCTAATAATTTACGCTACTTATAATTAAAACTACTGATTTTACAATTTGATAGATGCATTGATTTAGGAATAGTTTTACATTTTTCTGGTTTACCTAGAAGTTTATCAAGAACGTCACTTGGGAATTTATTAAGCAGTAATGGTAACATATGTGTATGTCCTTTCCATAGTTGTTATTGTATGGAGGAAAAACATACCTTGGTATGTACTTTAGATTAAGCAGTTTACCAATTCTTGTCGTTTGTTTTAACATGGCGATTTTATCTATTTCATCACAAATTATGAATATATTTATTTTACTATGTATATCTAAGATGCTACAGTACCTAAATAACTTGATTCTAACTTTTCTATAGGTATTTCTTTTTAACTGATTTTGGCACAAAAGATTTTGTTAGTCTTATTTGTAATTTATAAATGCCATTCAGTTTTGTATGTTTTGTATTAATGACGTTAAATAAGAAATTATTAAGGAGGGTCTATTAGAAACCTGAAGCCGAAGGCTGAGGGCTTTGGTAACTTGAGTTTTCAATTCTTTTACCGCCCGTAATACATACAATGTTTTTCATCATATTTGCGGAGGAAGTAAATACAATGTTTATTTCTTATATAACGCACACACAGTCAACATAGCCCCGCATTAGGGAAGCCCTGTGTCGCGGTTGCCATGGACATACACATAGACAACGACAAATTAAACGCAATCTCACGAGAGAAATAAATGTAGGCCATACAAATTTGCTCCCGGCCCGGGAATCGAACCAGGGACCTCTGTGTGGCAGTCCGGCATGGTTCGGCCACGGAGGCAATTATATGAATAAATATGGTTCACACACAACACAACACATATGGATTTTGCAAAAGGCGATTTTTTAAATAATAAATACGAGTACTTAAGTAGTATGTGGTTGAATTGCAATTAAATTTCTGTTAAGATAACATTTTAAGCGAATGTTTTAATTTTGAACTTAAGCAACGTCTTTGCTTGAACTTGAACGTGACCTATGTAAGGAAGCATTATATAAAACAGTGAGAAGGGAGTCATCTCGCTTATCAACACAAAAAACTTTCCATCACAATTGCACGTAAAGAGTACCTATTGCATGCAGGCTAACTTGACTACAATGCCCCAAATAAAACCATCGGGCCTTTTTTCTTCTCATTACCGACTATGGCTGTAATGAGAAGAAATAAGGCCCGAGGGTTTGATTTGGGGCATTACAGCCAAGTTAGTCACCATGCAATCGTACTATTTACGAGCAAGAGTGATGAAAAATATGGTTAATTTATTTATTTTCAGTCATCGAATCAAAAGTTGTTGTTTATGGTATGGTATGTATTATAGTCCTACGAAGTTGTTAGAATTTTACAAATGATCCTGTTTACAATATATACAAATCTTTACAATATTGATGAACGTAGTTTTCAATTTAAATGAAAATTAATTATTCACATTACGAACATAGGTCATGAATGGAACTTAAAAAAAATCTAGTAAATTTATGTACATACGTACATACATACATACATGCATTTAT